CGGGCCGAGATAGAAGCATCTGGAGGCGGGGGTGGGGATGGGGACGCCGAATGTTTTCGGAGAGAGCCGAACGTACTCCCGCGGGATTGGCCGGCTGGAGCTCGCCACGAGACAGCCGAGCAATTCCGGAAAGAGCCGATCGTAATCGGGTCGGGTGAACGATTCGAAGTTGGACTCGGCGGTACTCGGAGATGGCCGAATGATTCCGGAAATGGACGAATGTATTTCACAGGGACTAGCGGGAGAGGTTGATTCCCGCCGCAAAGCATTGCAGAAAGGATCAAGAGAGCTCGGCCCCAAATGGAGGCCCTAGGCGTTTAGACCCAGAGGCTACGGATGGTTCTGGAAATTGCCGAACCAGGGACGGTTCCAGACAGGGGGTTTGAGGCGGCCTTAGGCTCAGAGAATAGGAGCGAAGAGAAATGGGGAAGGCCCTTGCCAGAGAAAGCTGCACTATTTAGGAAACAACTGAGCCAGCGAGGGCGGAGCTGTTTCCCTGGCAACCCGGGGCGTCCGGAAACGGCCGAGTGATTGGGAGTTCCTGCCAATGCAGGAACGTGGCGGACTGGTGCCAGAGGCGCTATTGTTTCCGGACCTAGGGAGGCCCTGGAGCTGGGGGCGTGTCCAAGGGTGTCCGGCGCGGGTGGCGAGCTCCAGAAGTAGCCGAGGGCGCTCGGGGCGTAAATTGCATGGCGCAGTCCCAGCACAGTCCAGGACTGGAAGGACGCAAAGATGGCTTTCTTTGTTTTATTAACGTAGCTCAGGGCTCCAGGTTGGTGACGACGTATACAGTTTTTCATCTTTTTTCTTTTTGTTTGAGACAGCGTCTTGCTGTGTTGTCTGGCCTGATCTCTAACGCCTGGGCTCCAGCCTCCTGGTTACTGGGATTACAGGCGCGCCTGCTTTGAATAAAACTGTGACGGGAAGTACCTGAGATACTGGACAAAGGCAGCTTCCATGCTCAGAGAAGTTCTTGGGGGAAAATTGCAACGTCGGACTCCTATGCATCCTTCAAAACCCACATCCATTACCTTTGAGCCCCGAGACTGTTTTCACCCCACTCCCACTCTCCTTATCCCTTTCTCACAAATCCAGACAGTAGATCTCCTTTTTGTAAATGTGGGCTTTTATTCACTGCCAGCTCCAGGATGGAAGGAGGGGCAAGTCATGCACAGCCTTGGTTTATCCTCCAACACCAGGCAGGGCTGGGCCGGGGCTGTGGGAGGGACGCAGCGCTTAGAAATCTCCCTCACCCAGGTGGGCAGAGCAACCCGGGGGAAGAGGCGGGGCCGGGATCTGCACAACACCCCCCCATTGGGTGGGCCACGACCACAGTGGGCGCGACCGAGGCACCCTTCTGCCGCGCCTCTAGCTGTGCCATCTGGGACAGCGCCTGGCTCTGGCCAGGACTCAGCTGCTTGGGCCGCAGAGGCAACAGGGACGCCACCTGCTGGCAGAGGGAGGAGCTGCGAACAAAGCGCTTGGCACACACAGCAGGCGCTTAATACATGGTCGTTGGAATTAGTCTTGTAAACACGAGGAAACTGAGGCACAGAGTGGGAAAGCCACTTTCCCAGATCCACACAGTGAAGCTGAAATTCAAACCCAGGCCTCCCTAACTGCGCAGCTGGGCTTCGTCACTGCATGCTCATCCCAGGGAGTCCGGACACATAGGGGAACCTCCCTGGACACATGGTGGGCGGGACACTCGACGGCGCCCTTTGAGGTCAGGCTGGCACCTCCCAGGGCTTCCGAACCTCTCTACCTGGACTGGCGAACTCCTACTCATCCATCAAAGCCCCAGTTCCCAGACCCCTTCTGCAGACTAAAGCCCGAAGGACTGGAGTCAGACTTGTAGCAAGGACAGCAGCTCGAACAGTGGGATGTGGTCTTCAGACTCCAGTCCCTATGGTTTTGGAAGGGAGGGACATCGTTTGGGGACTCTGCAAGTCATAACCAAACTAGGCCTGAGTGACACGTGAGCTAAGTCTCGGGTCGGGACTGAACACTGAATGCACACGAGGGCTTCAGAAGGGGCAGGGAGACTAAAGCACGCGCACAGGCGAGTGGTCCAAAGTGCTTGCTTCCCAGTGCGGCCACCGCGGGTGGCTCCGCCCAACTATTGCTCGGAGCAGGTAATAAATTAGCGGCGGGTTCGCTATGTACAAGGCGGCCCGGGTAGCCCGGCCGCACTCAGTCCCCGGCAGTGCCCTGCACGGCGA